GGGTCTCAAAAGGATGTAGCCATTTTGTCTACCTACCACCCCCCCCACCTTTTATTTCTTCCTATATATGCTCTACTCTCCTTTAAATACTGAAAATTCCAAATTCCCCTTCGGGAAAACAGCCATAGCTTTGGCGGCGTACTCAAATTTGGCTTAATAAACCTCCATTGAGATTTTTGCCTTAGTCACTTACTTTGGGTGGACAAAGGACCGAGAGGCAGTAAGTTGCCCGAGGTCACCCAGGCATCAGGAGGCCTCCCCAGGTTCCTGCCGCAGCTAGCATGCCACCCAGGTGGGCAAGCCCGGCAACAACACAGTCTAACAAAGCACTGCTGTGGGCCCTCCCCATTCTAGGATTCCCGGGGCAGAAGCAGACTCTCACCCACGTTCCAGCTCCCAGGTCCCCCACTGCAGTCCTGCAGCTCTGCATGTTGTTTGCAGACATATTTTTGAGAAAATAAAAAGAGCTCAGAGCAGTCTGAGAGCTATGTGAGATTTGCACAACGTATCAGGTCTAGGGAGACAGGATTATGGGACTACAACCATCCCCTCCCCACTCACCCCATGCCCATGCCCATGCCGGGCGGGCAGTTATTCAAAGCCATTAGTTCCTGACCAGCTGCCTCACTCAGTATCTCCAAGTTCCTGGAATTTGGGATACAAAGAACATTGTGTAACCAATAAATAGCTTGTGTTATTTTAATGTAAATTCTTGGAAAACAATTTAGAACTGCCTCTTCTTTTCCTTTAAAACCCTGCTCGCAACTGCTGTTATTTGGAGTGTTTATTCCCGACAACTTGAATCTATGCTCCCAGGCTGCAGTACTCAAACTTGGCCCAGATAAACTCTGCGTATATTAAGTTTGCCTCAGTTTTTTTCCTTTAGGCTGACATTTTTAAATGACTCCCAGGAATAATTACTTCCAGTTGGTTAACAGGTACAATGCCTGGCACCCAGGAGCTCTAAATTAAAGTGATTTTGTGCATAAAAAAGGAAAGCAAGGCAGGGCGCGGTGGCTCACGCCTGTAATCCTAGCACTCTGGGAGGCCGAGGCAGGTGGATTGCTTGAGATCAGGAGTTCGAAACCAGCCTGAGCAAGAGCGAGACCCCGTCTCTACTATAAATAGAAAGAAATTAATTGGCCAACTAATATATATAGAAAAAATTAGCCGGGCAAGGTGGCACATACCTGTAGTCCCAGCTACTTGGGAGGCTGAGGCAGCAGGATTGCTTGAGCCCAGGAGATTGAAGTTGCTGTGAGCTAGGCTGATGCCAGGGCACTCACTCTAGCCTGGGCAACAAAGCAAAACTCTGTCTCAAAAAAAAAAAAAAAAGGAAGGCAAGAGAGCTGGTGGGTTTTACATACCCCTCATTTCCTATCTTGGGGACCCCCCCAGCGGGAAAGCCACCAAGTAACTCCCACCCTCTACCCAAGGCCTTATCTGTAGCTATCATCTGCTCTGTGCTTAAGTATTGGGATGCAAATTATAATACCCACATTAGTGCAGTGAACTAAAATTTTAAGGCTCACACCCTCCCCAACCGACTGACTGTGTGGACACCCTCTCGGCCAAAGGAATATCCTAAAACTAAATTGTCTGCCAGGAGGAGGGAGGTCAGAAATGCCTCATCATGCCCCCCTCCCTTCTTGGAGACATTAGGCCTAAGGGTATGCAAGACAAACCTGCAGGTCCTCAATTTACATAACAAATCTGTCTGGTGGCTTATCTCGGATAACAGCTCCTTGTGTTAAAACATTCCAAGCCTTTAGACAAGGCTTCATGTCTTTAACCAATCACAAGCCAAAGAATCTTTAAACCTACCTGTAACCTGTAAGCTGCCCCCCTCTTCAGATGGCCCAACTTTTGGGGCCAAACCAATGTATGCCTCCCACATATTGATTTATGACTTTACCTGTAACCCCAGTCTCCCTAAAATGTATAAACTCAAGCTGTAACCAAGCCACAACCAGTCCACTTGCTCAAGGCCTCTTGGGAGTGGCTCCGGGTCATGGTCCTCAAATTTGGCTCAGAATAAAGCTCTTTAAAATTATTTTACAGAGTTTGCCTTTTTTCCATTGACAGTTCAGATATTTCATTAACGATTTGAAGGCTGATGCATAGGGGGAAACATCTCATGTGCACGTTAATCAAAATAAAGGCTGGGGAGCAAACAGAACGCCTCTGAGCCTAATATGTGGAGCAGTGGCCTGAGTCCTGAAATGTATTTTAGAGTTTTTGCCTAAACAGACTAAGCTGCTTCTGTGTATACATTATTAATTTCAATGGCTCCTGCTGGTACTTTTAAAATCATCCCCCAAGTTAGAAACACACTGAAATGTGTTGACACACACCAGGGGCTTCTCAGCTGAGCTCCAGAGACAACGGGTGCAGCTGAGCCCCAGCTCCCACCCAGCCCGCGGCCCCTGGGCCATCTCTGCTGCCTGGCAGGGTGCTCGGGCACCTCCACTATTTCGGTGACCTAAGGCAAGTTTCTGTGTGTTTCTCAGGCTTGGTTTGTTACCCAAAGCTCTGCCACTTGTTCTCAAGGCCACACCTGAAGAAGGAGAACAAGTAGTTTGAAGAGAAGGAAGGAGAAATTTTCTTACTTTGCCAGCAAAGGAGGAGGATGGAGACTCCTGTCTGAAATGCCATCGTCCTCATAATAATCACAAATACAGAGCGTTTTTAGAGGGTGGCCATGCAGCTTCAGGCAATTGCTGCTCAATGACATCTGACGATTCTGAACTGTCCCATCTCCTCTGAGGACAATCCTGTGACCTCCACCCAAGACCTCCCTTTACCGGGTCTGGACAGGGCCATCTCCTGTTGCACAAATAGGGAAAGACTTACCCTGTCCCCCCCCCCCAACCCCTGGCCTGAGGCAGGAATGCAGGCTTTAGTTCTCAAAAAGGAGGAGAGCATGTTTGAAAGAGACAGAAAATATTTTTGCCATTTTTTCAGGCCATTCCCTCTGTTACAGTTTCCTCGTCTGTAAATGGGGTAAATATCAATAGCACCTGTGGTGAGACTGGAGGCATTTGGAATCATGCCTGGTGCAAACTGTTTAATAAATGCTATTTCTTTGAACCACTGCCTACCCTCCGGGGCCAGCTAAGTGGTATTCCAATAAACATTTTTTTAATAAATGCACCTACTATAATACAAAGAAGCCCCACGAGGCCAGGGACAATGTGCCTCATTCTCTGGTGGACGGGTAGTGCAAGCCCAGGGCCTGGCTTGGGTGAGGGCATGACACCCTGCATTTGCACTCAATACCTGCTCTACAAGGGGGAGCATTTAATATCCAGATGCCAAGGCCCATCTCCAGGGATTCTGATACAATCGTTTGAGGTGCGGCTTGGACTTTGATACTAACTTTCTAGGTGGGCCAGGTGACACTAATGTACAGGCAGCGTGGAAAGGCACAGACCCAAACCTCCACATGCCCCCACCCCCACCCCGTGCAGCACCCCCAGCATGGAGGCATGTGCTGCAGAGGAGGTTGGGATCTTAAAATGCCTAGGCTTGTCACGCATTGTCATTTTCCAATCCTGTAGTTTTCTGGGTACATCAGATATCCTGTCCCAACCTCTTTTTTTATGTGTTCAATGATTAATTTAGATGAGGTATCCTGGAAGGCCAAGTCTTCATTAGAGGGTGTGGAAAAAGGCACCAGGATTATAATTTTCCTTTGACAGATTTACTCCAGGGCCCCTGTATCTGGACATCCATACTCTCTGTGAGTTCGTCTCTAGCTTAGATCACTCCTCCCCTTCATGGTATAGCCAGGCCTGTCAATTCTACCCCTTCTCTTCCTTATCTAGATATCACCCTTATCTAGAAGATTCTGTCTCTGGAAGTTTCCTCTCTCCCCAACTCTTCCAATTGTGTGTGTTGGGGAGCAGGGAGCTAACAACTCATTTACTGATCCACAAACTGCACTGGGTAGCAGACCAGGGGCTTTGCCTACGCCATCTTTTACAATCCTCCTAACTCTCCGGAAAGGTAGGTAGTACCCCACTTCCTCACAGATGAGCTCTGATACCCCACACCAAGTTCAATGCAAAGCCTGTAACTCTTCCCTGCCTCCCTACTACCCCACTTCCCTTCACTACCCCCCTGCATCCCATGACACTGCAGTGAAGCAAGCCCTTGCCTGCCCGTCCCTGCTGCACACAGACCCCACCGCCCCACCACCAGTACTACCCTGCAATTGGACAACTCAGTCCTAATGTCCAACCTGCCAGATTTTCCCAATAGTTAGGTTCACGCCACTTTGCTGCTCCACTCCTTTCTTTCAGTGACCCTACTGCTCACCAAGTTAAGCCCCAACGCCTTGCCTGGAACCCACGGCTCTCCAGCACCGCCCACCTTCTTGCACGCAAGGTTCTGTTCTCCGCACTCTGGAAAGCACTCCCAGTACTTTCCTGTCTCTGGCCCTCTCTCACATTATTAAGGCCTTCAAATAATTTAGCAGAAAGATTGTTGATTTGTTAAGATCACCTGGTCTTTAGGCCTTCTCTGATGCCAGAGAATCACTGAACGCAAATTAAACTGACTCCTGACAATGATCATATGCGCTAAGGCAGGTAGTACATCCCCAGAAAATTATTGGAAATGCAGAGTCTAAGGTACCTATGTACATACACAGGAATCAGAATCTGTATTTTTGTAAGATTCCTAAGACAAGTTCTCAATCTTGCATCCCCCTGGGGAGCTTTAAAATCACCTCTCCTCGGTGCCAGCCCAATTGCAATTGGTTATGAGCAGACCTTCCTGTAACTGCTCACACATTTAAACATAGTCAATAAGTAACAGAACATTACTCAGAGTACCAAAGACCCAACTCTGGCTGTTAAGAGAGTAAGTTGTTAGATTTGGGGGAGGGGCAGGGGTGGAGGCAGGGAACAATTGGTACAGTTAAATTGAAAACTTCATTCCCTCTGAACAGCAAGTCACTTGCAGGGATTTACTCCACAGAAACCCTCACACCACTGTGCAAAAATATAAACTGGTCACAAGCTTTATTTAAGGAACGAAAACCCCAAAACAAGTCAAACAATCCCCTCATATGAGATGAAATTACAATGTATCCCACATTATGAAATACTAGTCATTTGAGAATGAGATCTTATAACTATCAACATGGAAAAACACCCAAAATATTCTGTTCAAGTAAAAAAAAAAAAAGCTGCAAAACACCATAGAAGGGACAAGTTTAATACAAATGATAAATATTTGAGTACATGCACAGGAAAAAGCCATTATTTTGAAAGGGAAGTATGAGACTATCTCCCAGATGTATTTATTTATTATTTCTATTTTTCTATAGATCACAAAGCAAGCTGAAATGCTCTTAGAATATATATGGGATAAAACAAAGTAAGAACAGTCTCAGAGCTTAAAAATGTTAGGTAACCAATGATACTGCAGTAACAGCACATTGATGTGGGAAGAGAAAGAAGAAATCTTTATCTGAAGAATTCAAGCCCTTTTCAATTATCAGGCCCAGAGAAGCACAGAAATGAAACAGCAGCCACATCTCACTCCCCCTTGGGCAAATAACTGCCTCCTGAAGCCACTAGCTAAGACTGACTCTTGGGAGACCTACAGTGCCACGCCCTGTAGTTCAACAACGCTCCATCTAGTGTTCAAGAATGCATAACCAATCACTATCCAACGTGGTTTCTTTAAACCAATGAGAAATCCTGATGAACCACTTTTGTAATCCCTCTCCTGATTTGTCCTTTTTTTCTTTAAAAACAGAGTCTCTCCTTTGTTCTCCTGAGCACCTTCAAGGTATCCAGGGCTACAGTCCTCAACCTTGGCCCAAATAAATTCTCTATATTAATTCTGCCTCAGCTCCTTCCTTTTAGGTCAACATTATCACAAAATTAGTTATTAGAAATATGAGCTTTATTTTAAATTTAAAGAAACAATGAAAATAAACCTTTTTTTACAAATTATAATCAAACACTTATTATAATTTACGAATGTTAAACATTAATTCTTAATTCCAAATAATGACATCCATAGAATATACTCTGATGTTGGCCAATATGAAGTTTACTTAAAACTAGTATTTGATCTATGTTTAACCATTAATTCTTCCTAAAATTTAATTATTACAATGATTCAACTTTTGAAAATTTTTTATTTTTAATTATGGGTACAGAATAGTTATATATCTTTACAGGGTACATATGATATTTTTCATTCTATCTAACTATACTTTTGCACCCATTAACCATACAATGATTCAACTTTATAACATTAAGCAAGTCTTTTAGGTAATACCCTGGATATAACTCTTTCAAACATGAAATATATATACCAGCAAGGAAATTATAAAAACATATATAAATTATACCAAAGGACTTGATTTAATGGCTGTCTATATATAGATAGATTACACACACATAAAAACACTGCATTGAATACAGATGCCATTATATTCTCTTCGGTATGTTACACAGCAAACAGCAGGCTCATAAATGTCATTCTATTATGTATCAACTGAAAAAATATATATATTTCAAAAAAGTCTTTGAAGACATGTAGGAGTGGAAAGTGCCTGCATTAAGAGCAGAGCTTTCAGAGAACATTTTCCAGCAGGCTCCAGGGACCCTCAGAAAGACAAGATGGTCTTGTTAATGATTTCAATGGACTCTCGAATCTCATCCTCCTTGATCACCAGCGGAGGTGCAAACCTGATGATGTCGCCATGGGTTGGCTTGGCCAGAAGTCCATTATCTCGAAGTCGCAGACACACCTTCCAAGCATCATAATCTAAAGAAAAATGGTGAAACGTGTATGTTCAAAGATAAATGTTTATTTTATTTATTTATTTTTTTTGAGACAGAGTCTCACTTTGTTGCCCAGGCTAGAGTGAGTGCCGTGGCATCAGCCTAGCTCACAGCAACCTCAAACTCCTGGGCTCAAGTGATCCTCCTGCTTCAGCCTCCCAAATAGCTGGTACTACAGGCATGTGCCACCATGCCTGGCTAATTTTTTCTATATATATTAGTTGGCCAATTAATTTCTTACTATTTATAGTAGAGACGGGGTCTCACTCTTGCTCAGGCTGGTTTCGAACTCCTGATCTCGAGCAATCCACCCGCCTCTGCCTACCAGAGTGCTAGGATTATAGGCGTGAGCCACCACACCCGCCATCAAAGATAAATGTTTAAACATCCCTTGCCATATGTATGGGTAAAGTACAGCCTGGCAAAATAGAATTCCCAATACCAGCTCAAGAAAGGAAGCTTTGTATTATATACCTGTAACAAAGTATCTTATATATTGGCACAAAAAAGAAAAAATAAGGAAGGAAGCTTTGAGCTACAACCTTGCTTTGTTCTCATTCTTTTTATGAGGTGGTATATGGTCTTGCTCTGTCCCTTGGGCTAGGGTGCAGCAGTTGATCAGAGTTCACTGCAACCTCAAAATCCTGGGCTCAAGCGATCATCCTGCCTCAGCCTCCCATAGCTGGGATATAGGCACACACCACCATAACCCACTAATTTCTCTATTTTTTTTTTTTTTTTAAGAGAAGGGGTCTCCCTCTTCCTCAGGCTAGTTTGAACTCCTGGCCTCAAACAATCCTCCCACCTCCCAAAGCACTGGGATTATAGGCATGAGCCACTGTGCCTGGCCTCATAACTAGATTTTAATGGTATAATTAAGACATCTTAGTTTTTGCTGGTTTTTCATAAATGAAAAAGACCAAGCAAAAAAAATATATATGTATGTGCTATTAATCACATGAGGAACCAATAAAAAAGAACTTGGGAATGACACAGATAATTAAGAGAGAAGGAATGGGGAATCCTCAAAACCTGGTGAACACTGAACACTCCTTAAAAAGATCTGCTTCCTGTGCTTGTGGAGCTAGACTCAACGTGTGACAGCAGTCATTCTTGACCCTGACTGCACTTCAGAATCACTAGGAGCCACTGCTAATGCCGTAGCCCCAACCCAGATCCACTGACTCAGAATCTCTGCAGTGAGGCCAGGCTTTGTTTTTTCAAAAGCTCCCAGGTGACTCTAAAGTATAGCCAAGGTTGGTTGGAATCACTGCTTTAAAAGAAGGATTAGCATAAGAAAATGCAGCAAGGAACCCTTAAGGGTTACAAAGAATGTACTAAAACATCAAACACTCAATTAAGTGGCAGCTAGCATTAGTTTTATTAACACCATCATTGCCATTCATATCATTCTTTTTTATTTTTTTTTTTAAGGCTGGTCAAGCAAAGTAGTGGAAGTGAACAAAGAACAAAGGAATCTGTAACTGGTTGTGATCAATTAGTTGTAAACACCACTGCATTTGGACCAACCCATATCAATATTAATATAGTTCCTACAAGCTTTACTGACAAAGTATAAAAATGAGGGAGGGAGGGATAGCAAAGAGGACACTTGCAGGGCCAGTGTTCTCTACAGGCTTACTAACAGAAAATCACTTGCAATCTCCAATACTACAGGACTAGCTTAAACTTAAGGCAGAGAAACAAATGTCTTAAAGTAACAAAAAAAGTCAAATTAGTTAAATGTGCCCTCATGTAGGAAAGAGTTTTACTTTTGATACCATTAATAAAACCACACATCGGATAATTCCCTGCCTAAAAGATCTGGTCGACAAGTCAGTCGACAGTTGCACACAGAAGATCCCAACAACCAATTAAAATACTGAATGTATTTTAGGTATTCATAAAAAGAAATCTTGAGTAAAATATTTTATCTCCATACCTTTCGTTTCTTTAATAACAATAGCATTTAGTAATCCTTTTCCTCTTACAGCAGTTACAATATCAGCAGGTAGCTTCATGAGTTCATTTCTCAAGATAGTACCCATTTTGTCTGCATTTTCAGCAAGGTTTTCTTCTTCCAAAACCTATGTTCAAAGAGAAATTATACAAATGTTAAGGTCATCCTTTTTCTGTTGTTCTTTGGAGGGCAACATGGACTATAAAGCAAAGGAAAAACAGAACTAGATAATGGCCAGAGTAACTTCATTTTTAAAAATTTTTCAACGTCTGTATTAGTTTAATTTCCAATTAAACATACACTAGATCAGAGCCTTTAGTAACAGATTTGATCCACTGTCAATCTGTTTTCATGACAAAATTAAGATTAAAACTTAATGCAATTTACATACTGTCATTAGTTGAATAAATCAATGGACTTAATTTTTTTCTTTTTAAGCAAGACAGGGTCTTACTCTGCTGCCCAGGCTGGAGTGCAATGGCATGATCACAGCAGCCTCAAACTCCTGGGCTCAAGCCATCCTCCCACCTCAGCCTCCTAAGTAGCTGGGACTACAAGAACCCACCACCATGCTGGATAATATTTTTATTTTTTGTACAGTCTCATTGCGTGGCCTCAAACTCCTGGCCTCAAGTGATTGGAAGATCACTTTTTGCCTCAGCCTCTCAAAGTGCTGGTATTATAGGCATGAGCTACCACATCTTTAAACTGTAAGAGTTTCCTTTACTTTTTCCCCTAAAATGTTCATTCTCAGGGATTACATAATTTTATGTCTCTAGCAGACACTAAAGGAATAAATCTATAAGAATTATAAACCCACACCTAAAAAAAAAATCCAGGCACACTAGCTCAGGCCTGTAATCCCAGCCACTCGGAGGCTAAGGTGGGAAGATCACTTGAGCCTCAGAGTTTGAGATTAGCCTGGGCAACACAGCAAGATCCTATCTATAAAAATATTAAGAAAAACTAGCTGGGCCTGGTGGTATGCACCTATAGTCCCAGCTACTCGGGAGTCTGACATGGGAGGATTGCTTGAGCCCAGGAGTTTGACGGTGCTGTGAGCTATGATCATGCCACTGCAGTCCAACCTGGGTGACAGAGCAAGACTTTGTCTCTTAAAAAAGAGTTCTGTGAGGGCCAGCCAGGGCCTAAAGGCCCAACACCTCAGGTGACTACAAAATCCAGAAGCCTATGGGAGAAATCCAATCTACTCAGCCAAGGTTTAAATTTTTTTTTTTCAAACAACTGGTAATCAATTTATTAAAACCGTTGACTTAAGCATCTGCAATAGTGACTTCAGCCTCCACTCCTGGGCTCAATACTGATGGAAGTAATCTGCCTAACAACCTCGGAAGGACTGTGCGAGTCAACGACACGCTTCCACTCGGTGGAGTCTCAGGTGGAGGCAATTCCATGTCCTAGCGCCTTCACGACAAGGAGTTTTTCGTGTAGTGAGTCTCAAGGTCTTGGCAGGCATCTGAACTGGTCCTTTTACTTCCAGATTCTTCTCCTTTGTATCTCTGATCAAGTCGACACACACCTTCTCTGGGGATTTTACACTGCACTGCGGCTCACTAGGGTAATTCTAATTTGGTGAATTGTCACTTGTCCCCCCAGGTGTGTTTCGGTATTTATAAAGTCATGGCTGCAGTGCAGCCTCCTGCGTGACTTGCTCCTCAGCGAGCAAGCAGCAGTGAGTAACTACCGAGTAGGGGCCCGAAGCTCCTCAAAGCCTGCGACTGTCTTCCTCACAGAAAGCTGGATTACTTTTTGAGAATGCCTTGATCCTGGAATCTTTCCTCTCTTCTCCATATTCTCTAATACTTGGCAATGTTATTAAATTTCTTCTTATACCAGTAGGCCCAAATTAAAAATCGCTTCAACACTACTTAAAGAAACAGATACTGCATGGCTGTACCAGCGTTTACCTCAAGGGCTGCAATGGCCACCCGGCTGCCCAAGGGGTTGCCACCATACGTGGACCCATGCTCCCCTGGCTTGATGGTCAGCATTATTTCATCGTCACACAGCACTGCAGACACCTGAAAGACAGTGAGTTCACCACGTCATTTCTCAGCACTAAGTGTTCTTATTCGGAGCCAACCAGGAACACATTTATATGAAGCTGCTCTAATAAACAAGAGCTTATTGTCTCCCATCTGAACTACAAGTAACAACCTGACAAACACATCAGGCACACTCTAACGGCACACAGTACAATTTTGGAACTAAAAGAAAAGTTATTTCTGTGATGATATAATTTGTAATCCTTTCCAATTTCAAGGTGAAGTACTTTGTTTAAATGCTTAGAAAACAGGGGGCAACACTCACCTAGGTGGTGGGTGGGGAGAGGAGTTGAGGCAGAAATGAAAGAGAAAAAAAAATTTTTTTTTTTTGAGACAGAGTCTCACTTTGTTGCCCAGGCTAGAGTGAGTGCCGTGGCATCAGCCTAACTCACAGCACCTCAATCTCCTGGGCTCAAATAATCCTACTACCTCAGTCTCCCGGGTAGCTGGGACTATAGGCATGTGCTACCATGCCCAGCTAATTTTTTCTATATATGTTAGTTGGCCAATTAATTTCTTACTATTTATAGTAGAGACGGGGTCTCACTCTTGCTCAGGCTGGTTTCGAACTCCTGACCTTGAGCAATCTGCCCACCTCAGCCTCCCAGAGTGCTAGGATTACAGGTGTGAGCCACCGCACCCAGCCAAAAAAACTTTTTTAAATAAAAGCAAAATGCTTAGAAAAGAAAGTTGAGTACTTTCTACAGCAAAAGTTTAGTCTATTCAACAAAATGTCTATACATGAGAGCCCTATAATCTAGTACCAATCATTGTCTCTGAAGAGCAAACTCAAGAAAAGAAAAAAACATCAATTTTTCAATCTCTGTGTTCATCAGTCATGGTTTTAAACAATCAGTAATGCCATGTTTCTGAACACTGGAAAAAAGGATAGGCGTCTATAGGAGTCCTTTGAGGTAAAACGTTTCCACCCAAATCAAATGCCATAGCAAATTCCAAGGCATACTCAATTCTCTTGTCAAAATTAACCAAGTGGGTCACACACTGGAATCCTAAAATGTTTTTATTACAGATGTTTTATTCCAGGTGACCTATAGCACACTTGGAAAAATCAAACCATCTGGAAAACATTATTGTCACAATCAATTAATGTCAAAATACGTTAGGGGTATATTTCACCAGAGCAGGGAACAGAGAGAGGCTGGACATTAGGCTTACAGGGTACAAGCCCCCAGAAAGGGCCTTTCCAAGAAGGACTATATCGGGTCTGACGTTTTCATGATCCACTGCCAACCATCTACCAGTTCTGGCCAATCCTGTCTGTATTTCATCAGCAATAAACAGAACCTATTGGGGTAAAAAAATGTAACAATATTAATTAGCATTTTTGTTTCCACAGGGAAAATAGCAATCTTTATTTCTCCTCCCAACCCCTACTCCATTAGAGCCACGGTATGCCCAGAGCGTAAGGTATGGCCAATGTTCCAGAGACAGTAAAAAGTCAGCTTCTATGCAGGTTTCTAAGCACTAGAAAGTTCTTAAACTCTTACAACATCATCTCCCTCGAGTAGAAGGGTGACTTAATCTTTGCACTTATCCTATCAGCAGAATTCAAACAGATGAGGGAAATTAGGTAGGGGATGCTCTGGCCTCATCACAACAGTTAACACGGGACAACCTGGTGCCTGGTGCAGAGCTCTCGCACTCCCGCTAGGTAGCCCGGGTCTGGAACAACAACACCCGCTTCACCCTGAATTGGCTCAACCATAAACGCGGCAACATTTGGGTCCTGAAGAGCACGCTACAAAGAAAAACAGAAATAAGTTTTAATAACTTCCTTTCTATCATATTTGGAAATCTGAAATCATATACTCTACCTATTTCCCTGGTAAGCATGCAAATCAAGTTTTTGCACTAACTTATATTCTGACTTCACAAGTATAGTATTTTTCACTGACATTAAATTAACAGAAGCTCCAAATATTTCAGCTTTAAGTTACATCAACCTATATTTCCTAATACATAAATGTATTAGAAATAAAACTTAAAGTAAACGGACTTTTAAAGCCATTTTAAGGCTTTCTTACAAAAGTCTTCCACTTCATAATTTTAAAAATCTAACTGAAAACAGCAATTTCACCTAGTAATTAAACAGATAATACCCAAACTAATTGTTATGAAGGATAGAAATCCAAAGTGGTTGGGTCATTTGTAAGGATTACATCACAGAACCCAGTTTTCCCTGTGTTGGAAAGTAACTGACCATTACTAAAAATAAGTCTGAAATCTTGGCCCAAGCTAAATGAGATAAATTGTCATTACTGTTACATAGTGTATTTTTTTTCTTCTGAGACAGAGTCTCACTTTGTTGCCCAGGCTAGAGTGAGTGCCGTGGCTTCAGCCTAGCTCACAGCAACCTCAAACTCCTGGGCTCAAGCAATCCTACTGCCTCAGCCTCCCGAGTAGCTGGGACTACAGGTATGCAACACTATACCTGGCTAATTTTTTCTATATATATTAGTTGGCCAATTAATTTCTTTCTATTTACAGTAGAGATGGGGTCTTACCCGGCCACATAGTGTATTTTTAATCCATATACTTAACAAGTTTAACTTCTATTTACTATGAGCGAAGTACCATGACACTAGTGAAGTACCTCCAGTGCAGACAGATCATTATATGGAATGATTTCAAATCCTGGCATAAATGGTCCAAAACCATCATAACTGGTTGGGTCTGTGGAACTGGAGATAGCAGACAAAGTCCTACCCCAAAAGTTTCCAGCTAGAAAGGAGAAACAAACAGTGATTATTTCAAAGAAATCCCCAAATACAATAAGCACTGTGTCCCCCAAAATACCATGGGAAGTTGACTAAAAAAAAACAAGGGTTTGCTTTAACAAACCTTCAGTGAGCTTACCACTGTTAAAACAAAATCTGGTATCAGAAACCATGGTTCCTAAAGGTTCATATCACATAAGACCACTAGGTCTGGCCTTGAAAATTGCTAAGTTAGGAACTTCTCTACTGAGCCTCTTGATTGGAATATATAGGCCCCCGAGAATAGACAACTTACTTTTCTTTCAATAATCCCAACTCAGTACCAAACCTTAACAACTGAGGTGTTCAATGCATGTTTTCTCAAGAACGTGCATTTATGATATGAGATGATGTGAGAAAGACAGTATCATAGAGAATCTAGCAGTTTTCCTTTTAAAAATCCAACACTGTAAGCTAACTACAGAATACATTTTCAATTTCATTTGGAGAAAAGAGCCTCAGGCAAACACTTTCTATTTTACCTTCCTTAATATTAGAATTCTTTATAATGCTAAATGACAGACATCTGCCTTTCTTCAGGGACATTTTTTACCCATTAATAAAGATTACTGAGGAGGACCTACTATATCGGGCACTGTTCCAGGTGTTGGGGATGAACAGTGACACCAACTGGCAAGCTCCCTGCCCTTAAGGAGCTTCTCTTCTAGTAGGGAAGAAACACCTACCATAAACCAGTAGAATCAAGTGAGCTAGAGAATTTCAGATTGGGTTAAATTCAAGAAGGAAAGAAACAATGTAGAATAACAGAGGGGCTGGGGTTCTCCCAAATTAGGAATGTTTTTTATGTCTTCTCACCATCTCTGCCAGCAGCAACTCAATTAACTCAGTACTGGATTATTGTATTTTTGGCTTCGTGGTATTTCCAAATACTACCCTTGCAAAGCCTCTTTCACCTACATCTCTCACATAGGAGAAATCCATCTTTTATTCTTCCACAAACAACGGCATGTTGATTTGACTAGCCTTGCTTAAGAAAAAGGCACTGATGAGCCTATATGCTCTCCCCCACCTAGGAATCTCATCCTCTGTGGCCCACTTTGCAGGTATGAGGGGCTTACATTTGGGGGTCATTGTCCTCTGTCTCTCCACCCCACTACTCTCCAGCTTCTTTCAATACTCGGGTGATAACATGTTTGTACCCTCTGCTATTATGAAAGAAACTGGACACAGTCTATAAGAATGAAAATCACCAAGAAATATTTTTGTTTGCAAGAAACAGTTATATTGTCCTACAACTAAGGCACAAATTTTAAAATGGCAAGCTACTGTACCCCCATAATACCCTCAAATGAAATGAAATGGCAAGTTACAGAGTTGTGCAAAGATTTCTTTCTGTGGAATACTAATCTGTCATCCCAAATACCTCTCGCCATCAAGTGAACTCCGGATTCTATTATACTAAGGGGTTTATAATTTAACTGCATCCATTTATAAGGCAGAATATTTAATGATTTCAACTATCACAAGAATGAACTTTGACCATGTACAGTCACAAATTTATGCATACTTTGGGTTTTTTTAATGTTATTTTTTAAAATCTTTATTTTGATTTTTTATATAAACAGGGTCTCCCTATGTTGCCCAGGCTGGTCTTGAACTCCTGGCCTCAAGTGATCCTCCTGCCTCAGCCTTCGAAAGAGCTAGATTATAGGTTTGACTCCTGGCCTCAGGCCAGGAGTTCCAGACCAGCCTGGTCAACATAGAGACACCCTTTTCTCTACCAAAAAAATTTTTTAAAAAAATTAAAGCTTAAGGCCAGGCACAGTAGCTCATGACTATAATCCTAGCAGTCTGGGAGGACAAGGTGGGAGATTAGGAGTTCAAGACAAGCCTGAGCAACAGCAAGACCCTGTCTCTACTAAAAATAGAAAAATTAGCTGGGCATCAAGGCACATGCCTGCGGGCCCAGGTACTCGGGAGGCTGAGGCAAGAGGATTGTGTGAGCCCAGGAGTTTGAGGTTGCTGTGAGCTACGATGACATCACTGCACTCTACCCACTGCAACAGAGCAAGACTCGATCTATCTGAATCAATCAAAATAAAAATTAAAGCTTAAAAAAAAAGGTCATCCTCAAAGTAATCCAAAAAAAAAAAAAAGGGTCAAAACCTATCATTTGAATATAACAATCCATAAGTTACTAATTAACTGTTAGTCTCCCTAACCAGAATTCAAATTATTCCTCTCACCTAGTCCAGAAGTATAACAAAGCCTCCTCTTACCAGTACTTCTAAGAAGAACACGGCACAACAGCACATCTGATAGCAAGACTCAAACCTCATATCCTACGTAGGACATGGCCCCATTCTGATTTCACCAAATCCTAACACCTAACTAAAACCCTCTACCAGCAAACCAGACTAACTACCTAGAACACTGGTATAGGAAAAAATCTGATAAGCAGATGAGAAATCCAACCATATAGTCACTCATTACAGGGAGATAAGAGTAAGAAGTTAAGAAAAATCCCATATATGAAGAAATAACTTAGAAATAAACCCGACAAGAAGAAATTGCTCATTAATTTTTATGAAATGTTCAGCAAATAACATATCATATACCAGGCAAACATATTAGAAATGTTTCATCAATAAATCATAGCAGGGTGGGCGAGGTGGCTCACGCCTGTAATCCTAGTACTCTGGCCTCGTTGGGCAGATTGCTCCAGGTCAGGAGTTCGAAACCAGCCTGAGCAAGACCCCGTCTCTACTAAAAATAGAAAGAAATTAAGTGACCAACTAAAAATATATATACAAAAAATAGGCCGGGCATGGTGGCGCATGCCTGTAGTCCCAGCTACTCCGGAGGCTGAGGCAGGGGGACCGACTGAGCCCAGGAGTTTGAGGTTGTTGTGAGCTAGGCTGACGCCACGGCACTCACTCTAGCCTGGGCAACAAAGTGAGACTCTTAAAAAAAAACATAAATAAATCATAGCAGTTAATACTTAATTTCACATACCTGCAAAAACAATCTTTGCTTTGTATTTCTGAATTCCTTTCACGGAATAGCCCCACTTACGAGCCAGTTTGCAGGCAGTCTCTCCAGCCTCTACTCCTGCCAGGGGGACATTTTCAGATTTAAAAAATATTTTAAATTATCAGAAAATAAAAAGATTATTTTCTTGTAGATGTACCAAAACAAGGACATACTTTACCTGTATTCATAGGGAGAACTTTGTGGTAGTTGAAAAGTTTAGTGATGTACTCCTCGTATTCACCAAGCACGTTATTATAGAAAGCCCTGGACGTTAAAGTCAGTTTGTCCACTTGACTCTTTAGGGCATTCACAATCTTGGGGTGACAATGCCCTTGGTTAACAGCACTGTAAGAACTCAGGAAGTCAAAATATTTTCTGCCCTCTACATCCCATAGGTAAATACCTAAAATATATAAAAAAGGAAAATAATTTTAGAAAATTACTGTATGACATAAAGGACAAAGATTAGGACTGCTAGCAAGCCCTCTGCATGCTTATATGTGAACCTCCATTTAATATGTATTTATAGTTAAGGCTTATTTTAGCTCAGGCTTAATAAACTTTGGTTTATAAGGAATTATTAAGAATTGTAGTTTATCTGTCCAGACAAAAATAACACAAAAGGGTTATAACTCTGGAGTAAAACTTTTACCTAATTCTAACACTTAGGAGCCAAAATTAGATTTTAAAAGCCAGAGAAGTTACATATAACAGACAAAAATCATGAGAAGTAGATTATAACAACCCACAGAATGGAGGAAAAATAGAATGGGAGAAAAAAATTGCAAATCATGTATCTAGTTGCAAATCTAGTATCCAGAACTCTTATAAGTCTACGACAAAAAGACAACCCAATTAAAAAAAGACAAAGACTGGAATAGATATTTCTCCAACAAAGATACATACAAATCGCTAAGAAGTACATTAAAACAAATTCAGCATCACTAGTCATTAGGAAAATGCATATCAAAACCACAATGAGGGCTGGGCGCGTGGCTCACGCCTGTAATCCTAGCACTCTGGGAGGCTGAGGCAGGCGGATTGCTCAACGTCAGGAGTTCGAAACCAGCCTGACCAAGAGCGAGACCTTGTCTCTACTATAAATAGAAAGAAATTAATTGGCCAACTAATATATAGAGAAAAACTTAGCCGGGCACGGTGGCGCATGCCTGTAGTCCCAGCTACTCGGGAGGCTGAGGCAGGAGGATCGCTAAAGTCCAGGAGATTGAGGTTGCTGTGAGCGAGGCTACGCCTCGGCACTCATTCAAGCCTGGGCAACAAAGCGGAGACTCTGACTCAAAAAAAAACCACAATGAGATACCATCACACACTCCCAAGGATGGTTATAATTAAAACAAAACAAAACCCCAAGTTTTGGCAAGGATGTGAAGAAATTAGAACTATTGCTAGTGGGAATATAAAATGATTCTGCCACTATGGAAAAGTTTGGCAGTTACTCAACAAGTTCAACATATAATTACCAGCAATTCTACTCCTAGGTATATCCCAAAAGAATTTAAATCAGAGACTCGGATACTGGTTCCTGAATGTTCATAGCAGCACTATTCACAATAGCCCAAAAGTGGAAACAACCTAAATGTCATCAACTGATGAGTGGTAAACAAAATGTGGTCTCTCCACATGATGGAATATTATTTAGCCTAGCAGACACAACCTTACTAGGTGATGGAAGTGACCATTGGCAACATGGAACGAGCAGACATGTCTCCTGAGGGGAGGCACAACAGCGCCATGCAAAGGTATATAACTTGATTCTGGTCATAAGAAACAACAGCCAACCCCAAACTGAGGTGCATTCTACAAAATTATGGGCCTATACACTTCAAAACTCTCAAGATCAAGAAGACAAAGAAAGCTCTCAGTTAAAAAAAGATTAAACCTGACAAGTGAATGCAATTCACAATCTAAGCTTTTGTTTTGTTATAAAAAAGGACAACAAATGAAATCTAGATTAGGTCTCTAGATTAAATAATGGTGCTATTATCAAGTGTTAAGTTTCTGATTTTGACACTATGGTTATAAAAAGAAAGTCCTTATGTTTTAGGAAAGACACACTAAGCATTTATGGGTAAAGAGGTGTCACGTCTGCAACCTCCTCTCAAACAGTTCAGAAAACAAATGTATAATATGTGGGAGTGGGAGATGAGAAGACAGAGATAACATAGTAAAACAGAAGCAGTAAAATGTTAGCACTTGGGAAATCTGCATAAAGAGTAAAAGAAAATTTTTAGTACTACTGTTACAACTTTTCTTTAAGTCTAAAATTATGCCAAAATTAAAATAAAAAAGGACAGCAATATTATAGTGCTTCCCTTATTTTTTTTGCATTCCTGTAGTGAGGTACACTATGACAAAGACTAAATGAGTTCATCTTTGCAGCCCCCACAGCACGTGACGCAACAGCAGTAGACACACAGTAAAGGCTGAATTAACTGTATCTGCACTATAGACATTAAATGCATCTGGAAAAATGTATACTGAGAAAATACAAAAGCAATTAATTTTTATAAATGGTTTCAAGCAAAAAGGAGGGAGTGGATTAATATGAAATGTACCTTTTCCTCTCTCCAGGGCTACAGGTAAAGGATGGTAATTGTGTGCACCATATTTAGATTCCCTTTCAAATATGTATTCAGAGGTTGGAGGGCCTTGGACTGTTTTTTTAGTTGCAACAGATGTAGCAAAAGCCACTGAAGAAGGAACTCCATGACCACGCACCACAACCTTCTGCAAATGTGTTAGTTTGGAAAACATGGTGTCCTTCAAGCAGGAAAACCACAGACCTGTCCAAACAAAAGAGATGGCATTAAGAGTGAGAATCTTGAGCTACACACAGTAGTACGTGCCTGCAGCCCCAGCTACTGGAGAGGTTGAGACAGCAGGGCACCCTGGGCAACAGAGTACTTCATCTCAATCAATCAAAAAGGGTGAGAGTCTCTCCAGAGTTGATGCGAGCACTAAGTATGTGTTGGCTGGGCACAGTGACTCACACCTGTAATCCTAGCTCTCTGGGAGGCCGAGGCGGCAGATTGCTGGAGGTCAGGAGTTCGAAACCAACCTGAGCAAGAGTGAGACCCCGTCTCTACTATAAGTAGAAAGAAATTAATTGGCCAACTAATATATATAGAAAAAATTAGCCGGGCATGGTGGCACATGCCTGTAGTCCCAGCTACTCGGGAGGCTGAGGCAGCAGGATTGCTTGAGCCCAGGAGTTTGAGGTTGCTGTGAGCTAGGCTGATGCCACGGCACTCACTCTAGCCTGGGCAACAAAGAGACTCTGTCTCAAAAAAAAAAAAAAAAATGTGTTGAGGATTTACCACCGTCCAGTCCAATACTACCCTGCATGACCCTATTGGCAGTTACAACTATAGGGTAGAGACTAGGCGCAGGGGGAAGAAATAAGAAGGCAGCTGCCAGAGTGGTCACCAGGACCCTGGTGACCACTGGATCTCAGTGGTCACTGAGAACTCTTTAGTCCTTGTCTCTGGAGATTGAAGCAATTAAGGATTTGGTTTCTACAAAGATAACACAGATCATCCTAAAAGAGAAAAGAACAGATGTGGATGGGAAATAGTTGACTTTTGGGAGATGGGAAGAGCTTAACACCAAAGATAGAAACCATAAAAGGTAAAATCTGTTATTTAGCCACAAATATCTAAAACTTCTATAGGTCGAATTTATCATAAACAAAGGTGAAAGGCAAAAACACTAGGGAAAAAATGTTTTGTAATTCATAATGGCTTTGAAGAGCTTTTACAATTATGTTCAACATATCCAAAAAGTATATAAAAGTAAATAAATATATATTTTTTAAAATTTCCAAAAGCAATTCCCAAAAGAAACAACTATTCTGCTAGGATGGTTGTTTCAATTGTGAACTAAAATAAAATTTTAAGGCTCATCTCCCCACCAGCTGACTAAATGGACCCCCTTCTTGGCCAAAGGAATATCCTAAAACTAAATTGTCTGCCAGGAGGAGGAAGGTCAGACATACCTCATCATGCCCCCCTCCCTTATTGGGGACATCCTTTGTAACCCATTAACAGGCCTAAGGGTATGCAAGACAAAGCTGCAGGACCTAAATTTACACAACAAATCTATGTCAGTGGCTTATCTCTGATAACAGCCCCTTATGTTAAAACATTCCAAGCCTTTAGACAATTACAAACCAATCTTTAAACTCACTGTAACCTGTAAGCTGCCCCTCCCCATTCAAGAGGTCCCACCTTTTTGGGCCAAACCAATGTATGCCTCCACGTATTGATTTATGACTTTACCTGTAACCCCTGTCTCCCTGAAATGTATAAAACCAAACTGTCACCTAACCACATCGAGTCCACTGCTCAAGACTTCCTGAGTGTGGCTCCAGGTCATGGTCCTCAAATTTGGCTCAGAATAAATCTCTTTAAAGAGATTTTTTACAGAGTTTGGCTTTTTTTCTGTTGACACTATAAAACTTAGCAATTGTTTGAAGGAGAAAAAGGTAATTAGGAACTAGAAACATCAAAACACAGTAAGTTACTTGTATGAATGTTAGTAATAAAACCATCATTGAACATGCCTGCATTTACTCCAACATATTTGTATATTTCAGAATTCTGGCAACACTCCCCAGTGGCCTCCAACCCTGAAACCAGCCCCCACCACAGGCCTTCACACACCTCTTTGTGTCCAAATTTAGCATTAAGCATCACTATAAACCATAAAAAGTAAGCTATGAAAGAAACTAAGAATAAAAAGGCAATTAGAAAGCACAGGAATCATGTCTGGGAGAAAAAATAAGTTTAAAGATAAATTCAAAATTAGGAGAAAGTAGCCAAAAACTAGGCATAGTTAGTACATCTATACTTATTTTTTAAAAGACTAGTTAATTCATGTTTCAACAGAACTCTATCAATGACAAGTCAAACCATGCATAATCTCACAGCACTCTTGATGTGAGCTGCCAAATTAGCAAAACACAATACTTGTGGCTTGGCTTACTTCCCTTTCAACTTGGCGCTACCCAGTAAATCCAGTATGTTCAAGAATTCAAAATTACTGAACAAAATCCAGCATTCTGGTTTGCCAAAGACTTACCAACAATCCTTTCTTCCCACAGTTCAGACTAGAATACAGATTTTTATTCAGAGATGAAGGGACAGTATTCAGAGGATCCAATATCTCCTGAAATAAAAGGCAGAACTGTAAGTATAGTTTCCCAAGAAGGTCCATAACACTTTCACCAGATTTTATCTCAAAGGGGTAGATAAAAAGAAGCAAAAAAGAGTGATACAGAATCATTAGATTGGTCCTGGCTACTGGCAAAAATGTCTAATTGGTCTAGGCAGATCTTTCCCAAAATACTATTGCTAAGTCTAAAACATTAATCTGCAATTTCTTTCTTGGGCTCTTTATGCTCTACTCAGTATGAATTAATTCTGTTTGACTAAATAAAAAAGGACATTACTTTTCGCTAACAAATTAGCAATAAAACACACTCAGGCGTGGAAAATCTGAAACCCTTTCTCCTCTGCTCTCACACCAACACAACAATCAACAGTGAAGATCTCTGAGGTCAAATGGATGGGGATTTTTCCCCACACATCAAGCAAGTAATCAATTGCTGTGGCAGGCATTAGGTGTCCTCCGATTCAGTTCTGACACTGACACTATTCTACATGGAGATAGTATCACATCCCACAGATTGAGGGCTCAGTCCCACAAGACAGCCTCCCCACTTCGGATCAATCAACTAGTCACAAGTGTAGGCCTCAGGAACTTCTGACCAACTGGCTTCCAGTTGGGGTTCCCACGACCTCCTCTTTGCATTCGATTAATTAGCTAGAGTAGCTCCCAGAACTCAGGGAAACACGTTTACCAGTTTATTATAAAGGATATTACGAAAGATACAGTGGAAGAGATGCACATGTAGAGGTATGGGGGAAGGGGGCACAGAGCTTTCATGCCCTCCTTGGGTGTGCATCCTCTAGGATCTTCCACGTGTTCAGCTATCTGGAAGGCCTCTGAACCCCATCCTGTGGGGTCTTTTACGGAGGTTTCATTAGGTAGGCAATATTGATTAAGCCACTGGCACTCAACTTAACCTTGAGACCCTCGCCCCTCCAGGGAGGTTGGGGGATGGGGCTGAAAGTCTCAACCCTCTAGTCTTGCCTTGGTCTTTCAGGAGACCAGCCCCCATCCTGAAGCTGCCTAGGGGCTGCCAGCCACCAGTCATTCATTAGCATACAAAAAGGCAACATTTGGAGATGCTAAGGATTTTAGAAGTTGCAAGGCAGAAACAGGGTTGAAGAGGAAATACATATTTTACAATATTGCATAAGCAATACTCCACACTGAAACAACTTTCTGAAAAGAATTAGAGCCATAATAAAAGTCTTACATGTGTTTGAACTCAGATATGTGTTTGAACTCAGTAATTTCACTCCCAAGCTCTTTTATAAATAGGAATGTGAAGAAACACCCATAAAAGATGTTCAACAATATGAGAATGGTTCAACATAATGACAAACAGTGCAGCCATTTAAAATAAAATTTTAAGGGGGAGGGAGGGAAAGGGCATTTTTTGAAACCTTAAAATTTGTACCCCCATAATATGCCGAAATAAAAAATAAAATAAAATGTTAATGACATGAAGAGATGTTTTAGGATATGTTTAAATGAAGAAAATAAAACCATATATACAAGATGTACAACTATGCAAAAAATATAATGAAAAACTATAAAGAAAGGCACAAAAAGGTCATTGTGGATATCTTTCTACTATTCTGTACTTTCCACATTTTCTACAATGATCATGAATTACTTTTTATTTATTTATTTATTTATTATTTTTTTGAGACAGAGTCTCACTTTGTTGCCCAGGCTAGAGTTGAGTGCCCTGGCATTAGCCTAGCTCACAGCAACCTCAAACTCCTGGGCTCAAGCAATCCTACTGCCTCAGCCTCCCAAGTAGCTGGGACTACAGGCATGTGCCACCATGCCCGGCTAATTTTTTCTATATATATTAGTTGGCCAATTAATTTCTTTCTATTTATAGTAGAGACGGGGGTCTCACTCTTGCTCAGGCTGGTTTCGAACTCCTGACTTCCAGTAATCTGCCCCCCTCGGCCTCCCAGAGTGCTAGGATTACAGGTGTGAGCCACCGAGCCTGGCCATGAATTACATTTTTAATGAGAAAAAAATGTTATTGAAATTGAAACTGGATGTCTGCCAAGGTTGTCACATTAAACAAAGAGAAAGTTTAGGCAACAAATAAAACTAAGCGGAAAAAGAAGGATTTGATAAGCTTTGAGAAAACAGTATGGTTAAAGAACAGTAGAAGTCACTACTCCTAAAGGAAGTGCAGCCTTGATTATGATCACATCCAAAAGTTCATCTGTTTCTAGGGGATGGGGACAAATTTTCAAATAACAACTATTCTATAAGATGATTTCATAATCAAGGTCTACAGCTCTGTGACTTCACTAGTACCAAGCACTAAGAAAAAAAAATGAGGTCTTAAAAAATTACTAAAGAAATAGCACCTCTGCATAGCACCTTAATTATGAAAGACTGCAAGTGAAAAGAACTTTTGAGATTAAATTCAACCCTCTAATTTTATATATGAGTTATTTGCTCAGCTAATTCACAACAGAAATGGAACAACATATCCATTTATCTGCTCAGTTCAGGCAGTTTTATTAAAGGATAATTATAACTTAGTAACATTCAAAACATTACAAATTCTCATTCTCAGGGTTTTTTAAGGTGAAGTCTGGATATTTACTTCAACCGAGAAAGGTCAGAAGTTGGATGCATCATGATGTACCAGAATTCTGTGAACACACTTCTATTAAAGAACCTTCTGTATTCAAGTTACTGTGTTTGGTTGGCACTATATGGGAAATACTAGAACAGAATTAAGATCGGCTTAAATATAGCCAATGTCAATAATTTCTTCTTCCAAAACAGTTTGGAAAACCAAGAGCATAGAAAGGAAAAGTCCGCAGAGTTGGGAGACCAGGATTTAAATTCTGTATGTAGCTCTTAAAGAGTATCTCTAGACAGTTTTGTCAGTCTTTCTGAGCTACATTTTCCCCATTTATAAAACGAGGTTGAAGCTTTACTGAGGATTAAGTGAGTTAATGTTAAAGCGCCAGACCTAGCACAAAATGGCCTCTCGGTTTAGTTTCCTTCTGCCCTTAAATTTACAAGGGATCTAGCCAGTTTCTGAAATATAAAAATCAACAGGGCCATGTTTTCTTTCTTAAATTGGTTTTTCTTAAAGAGTAAAATTTTTCTGTTGATAAAAAATTAGAAAACAAACAAAAAAAATCAGTCTAATATAGTAAATTTATCAATAAAAAAAATTAGAAAACACAGACAAGAAAATTGCCTGCAATTTCATACTTAACCATTAACTTTTTTTCCTATGCGTAAATACTACACACATTAGCTTTTTTTCACCCTCCCCTATAGAATTTACCAAATTAAGTCCCTCCAGAAGACTCTGCAGACTTTTGTCACCAGTCCTAACACTTTAGGACACTTGTTTTCATGCCTGTCCCCCTACTAGACTCTAAGCTACTTAAAAAGACAGTAATTTTATCTTAAAATTCACTTTGCACCCTTAGAACCTAGCCCAGGTTCAGCATTCTGTCAGCATTCTTTGTCAAATGAAAGAGGTCAATCCTAAATACAATTAGGACTCCTGAGGGAGGCAAGGTACCCAAGTAACCAAGGGAGATCAGGAAATCACCTATCTGTAACCAAGTTGAGTCTAATTCTAAAGGGTAGTGATCACTCCGACCTCATCTGGAATAACTAATCTTTTCACCAGGAGTTCACTTCCTTAGACTAATGGTCTTCAAAGGTCAAAATAATGTGTTCCAGTCTGCTGTCCAACATTTAACTGAGGCCCACACGCAGGTCCTAGAAATAAGAACAAATTGCTACTGACCAGATGAAATTTTAACACTGAAAGTTTTAAGTGATCCTCATAATTAACAGAGTCCTTGAAGCTACTCCTTTCCCCATCTCACCATTCCTATCTACTTCAGCACATACCTACACGAATTTCCATAAAAGGCTGCATTTTGAACAGCTAATTTAGTCTACACTATTTTTTTTTTTTTTTTTTTTTGAGACAGAGTCTCCCTTTGTTGCCCAGGCTAGAGTGAGTGCCCTGGCATCAGCCTAGCTCACAGCAACCTCAAACTCCTGGGCTCAGGCAATCCTCCTGCCTCAGCCTCCGGAGTAGCTGGGACTACAGGCGTGCACCACCATGCCCGGCTAACTTTTTCTATATATATTAGTTGGCCAATTAATTTCTTTCTATTTATATAGTAGAGACGGGGTCTCACTCTTGCTCAGGCTGGTTTCCAACTCCTGACCTCGAGCAATCCGCCGGCCTCGACCTCCCAGAGTGCTAGGATTACAGGCGTGAGCCACCATGCCCGGCCTAGTCTACACTATTAAATACTATTTTCTTAAATTACTCTAAACAAATAATCCGTGTAAAGTCATCCAAAAGCCACTTAAAATATTCGACTTCAGGAGTAAATTTGGTTTGCTGTTTTGGTCAAATATTTATTTTTCTTGACGTAACCATTTACAAATACAGGCCTTTTCTTCCCTTTTTAATTCTGCCAACAGGAGTTTTTTTTTGTGTGTTTTTTTTTTACGTAATCAGTACTCTGGCTGAAATTCAACTCAAGAGCATCATTGGCAAACAACTAAAACATTACTTCTGAAAAAGGATTGGGTCACCTGCACCTCGCCCTCCACACACCTCCGAACTTCGGTCCATTCATCACTATTTTAAATGCCTTTTTAAGAACTTTTACTATTTAAAGCTAAATTGGGTTTTTCTTTGGGAGAGGAGATGCAAAACTAATCTTAAACACCATGAAAAATTGTAAACCCCAAACAATAAGCTTTTTAATTTAAATTTTGTTTTTATTAAAGGGATTCTACATCTTTTTCATAGTCAAGAGCTATTTCAACATATGAATTTGGGGGGGAAAAAAAAGAAAAGAACTAGATTTTCTAAAGACGGAACCAGGATATTCTAATGAAAGGACTCTACTGTTTATTTCAAATGGGTAAGATTCTAATAGCTTGTAATCTAAAAAACAGTTCCAGGTTCAATTGAAAGGATTAGCTTCTCTACAAAAACTCTCTTAAGATCCCGGAAAGAGAGATTTAGAATTGAGAAAAACTGGGAAACTAGTAATTTCTTAAAGAAAAGCCACTTCATTTCAAAGTCACTCTTGCTTTTTCCCCCTTGACTTATCTGTGGTGAAACGCAAGAAGACAAGATACAGAGTGACAAAGGGAGGAGACCGCAGGTCACTGAGGACGAGCGCTCAGTGAATTCGAGAACTCGAGGAATGAGGTCTTCAAGCTGAAAGTCCCGTCTGCCCCAATCTCGACACCATCTAATTTAATTGACCTGCACACGTCGCTGTGTAATTCTTTTACTAGGACAAAGGCTGGAGAAAAAGAGATAGGTCGGGGTTGGGGGAGGGGAGAGATGGGCAGGTTCAGCCGCAGGGCCCAGGAGATGCCCGGGAGGGACAGCTGGACCCCTGTCAAAGTCTCCCTCAGCGCCTCAGGCCCGTGACCAAAGCCACCGTGCACTGCGCGGTCCCCTGTATCCCGAACGTGCCCTCCTTGCCCATCCCAAGACTCGAGGGTGCCCGCTGCGCCCGGCGCCCCAAAGGCCTCCTTCCCGAAAACCCCGCGGCCCGAGAGGTGGGGCGGAGGCCCGGCTCCCGCAGGCCGCGAGGCGAGGGCCGGCGGGCTCCGCCCGGTCTGACGGGCGGAGGTGCCACATCCACAGCGTCTCCCTGCTTCCTGCCCCCTGGCCCGCCCGCCCGCCGCTCTACGCCAGGACCCCGGGGCTCAGGCCTCCGGCCGGGATGCGCCATGCCCCTGCCCGCCGAGGCCGCGCGCCGGCCGGGGGCTCCCGGGCCGCCGGGTCCGAGCCGCCCGCGGAGGAAGCGGAACCTCAGGTCCGGCCGAGGCCCGGCGCGCCCCCTCTGCCCGCTCCCGAAAACCAGGCCCGGGGTCGCCCCGCGCCCGCGCCCGCCTTCCTCGCCAGCCGCCGTCGGGGCGCCCCGTCCGAGCCAGAGCCGCAGCGCCGCGGCGCCCGCGCGGGTACCTGACAGCAGCGGAAGACAACAGGGTCTCGGGACGTCGACGGAGCGCCACGACAACGCCGGCGCGTCACGCAGGCTTAAAGCGCGGCTTCGCCCCGCCCCCGGGACGCCCTCGCCGCCCATTGGCTGGAGCGGACGGCTGGGCACCAATCGCGAGGGCTCCGCCCCCGCCCCCCGCCCGGCCGCGCGCCGCCGACCACCCTGGTGACCCCGGGTTCCTGCCGCGCTCGCGCCTCCCGGGCCTCGGGCGCGTGCCTGCCCCGGGCGGTTCCCGGCAGGACCCGAGGGACCACCGTCCGCCCTTTGCTGGCGAGAGGACGGAGCCCCGAAAGGAGGGGAGGCCTGTGGGGCCTCCGCGGGCTCGCTGCGTGGGCCGGGCGCGACCTCCAGCCCCTTCCGTCGCGGAGCCTTGCGGCCGCCGCCACCAGCCCTGCCCGGACACAGCTGCTGCAGCCCCGGCCCTCGACCCCACGTGCGCAGGGCCGACTGTGCTGCTGAGTCCACGCCCGCAGCCGTGTTGCTGCCACTGGAGACTGCACCGCCCGCCTGCTGGTCGCTGCCGTCAAATACTGGACGGCAGTACTCGGAGTGCAGAGGCCTGTGATGGCCTCCACATCCAGATGGAAACCTCGGAGCTCAAAATGAGTATTCCGGGACAATCTCGTGTTAGAATGAAGGGACTCGGCCATCGTTTAGTCTACAGCATTTGTGCTCTGTATTGGGAAGCAGAGACCCAGAGAGGGGAAGCGAGTGCCCACAGGTAGGGGCGGTCCATCCCATGTGCCACCCACGGCTCTCCGAGGGCGCTGACAGCTGCGGGCACCACATTCCACTAGGCCATGGTGATCAGTCAGAGTCCCAGCCGCAAGCAGAGGGCACACTTCAATTTGGACATTTATGTAAATGTGGGCAGGTAAACCACAAAGGATGGAGAAATAACCTGGGCCCAGTGCACCAGGGAGGACCATTATCAACCCTAGGCCTAAAGGGCTCAAAGAGAGAAGGAGTGTGAGGAGAGGCCACCTGCCCTGGCTGAGGTCATCAGTGACCCCATCGGGAGGGAGCTGGGTGATAAGCATCTGCCAGGGAGTTCTTAAAGGCCAAGATCCCCAACCCCCCCTTCAAGGTTTTGAGTAGGCCATGAACCCAGGCTGCACAGCAGGACGTGAGAGGCAGGCTAGCAAGGGCAAGCAAGTGAAGCCCCACCTGCACCCCCAGGCTCTCCCCATCTCTCACTTCCCATCGCCACCCAACCCCTGCCCCCCCCCACCCGTCAGATCAGCAGCAGCATCAGACCCGCGCAGGAGCATGAACCCCACTGCAAACTGCACATGCGCATGCGAGGGTTCCAGGTTGGGCGCTCCCCATGAGAATCCAACGCCTGATTATCTGAGGGGGCAACTCCCCCCTGCCCCCAGCCTCCACCCCATCCGTCTGTGGAAAAACTGTCTTCCATTAAACCGGTCCCTGGTGTCAAAAAGGTTGAGGACTGCTGCTTTAAGACAGTCTCTACAGGTCAGTCTCCTGGAACACCAAGCAATTGGAAGACATTCAACACACATAACTGGCTAAGTCTGAGCTGAACAGAAAGTCAAGTCCACGCTATCTGGTAGGGGCAAGGAAGAGATGTGGGCACAGAGGCAGAGCTGCCAACATCTGCAGATGTACACAGCAAGACACCAAAAGGGATTCCTGGGCTCAACCTGCCATAGGTCACTTGCTCAGATTGTTATGGGCTGCAGAGCTTTGCCTTTTATTCCTTCGTTGTTCATCCACATCACAGAGTACAGTGTGATTACCTTCCTGCATGTTAGGTTGTTCTGCCCAAGGGCTCAGAGAGGAATGGTTTCTGCAAGGTCCTGGGTTAGGTGTGTGGAGCAAGTGATTTCAGGAGGGGAAATGACACTCAAGATCTAGGTGTAACACCAAAATATGTTGCAATGCCTTTGGACTCACAGATAAAGTGTTCTTTAAGGCAATAATTGTCATATGCAAGAAACTGCTGAGAATGTCTGGGTTTTATCTCTTCTTTCTTATCAGAAAAATGCATGGGTACAGAGAGCATGATAATATTTTATGGTTTCTCTACTAGCTGTTATTTTTCAGCATAGTGTGACCTTGACAGAGAGACCTGAACTTGAAAGCTGCTTGTTTTCAACCAAGAAATAGAGCTGCTTTGTTTGTGTGCACTTTACTTGTACCATCTAGAAATATATAAGGGTAGAGTATACAATGCAAAGATTTTTGAGCCTCTAAAATTATTAATAATTCAAGTAATTAACTACACAGGAACCATAAAGCCTGAAGAACTTGCAGTTATAAAGACTGGTGCTCATGGCAGATATCCAAAACCTAAATTAATTTCATTAGTTCATTCAACAAATGTCCCTTGAGTGCCTTATGTGCCTGAACCTGCAAGGGGTTTCACATCAGGCAAGACCCTGTGAGTCCCTTTCATAAGGGAGAAGTTCAGAAAATGGCCCTGCAACAGGTATGAACAGAAATCTTGCAACTTTGACCATCTAAAAAAGCTGCAACTGTATAAAAAAGGAAAAGAGTACTTGATTTTCTTATACAAGCAGCTCTCACTTACTTGGTGACCAGAAATCAATTTATGGGTTATGCAGTCCTCTTGCTTTCCATTACTTCCTTCATTGTCCAACTCGTTATGACTTTTTGCTGGTATTGCCTACATGCACTTGGGCTTCACATGATCAAAAAGGAAAATCCAAGCTGAAAGCCAAGGAGGAAAACTAATAAGGAAACTGAGGAAATAAGTGTTTGGTGATTTTTACACAGCAGGAGAAATTTTTTTTCCAGATTGTATTCACCCTAAAAAAGGTGTCATCCGGGCAGAACACTGGGCAGCATGTGTAACTCGTCCCTCCTGCTGCCACTGCATTAGGTTGGGGCAGGTATTTGTGTCTGGAGAAGAGTAATCTCCTTAAGTCCAGAGTGGCAGGGATTTGGCAGGAGCCAAGTTAAACGAGGCTGCAAGGACAGTGGGAGATGGATAGTAGAAGTTCTGAACTTAAGTCTGAACTGGGAACTATAGACAGAGACTCAGAAATTTTGCAGTTAAAATATGGATCCTACTATGAAGATGTGCCTGCCAGGGGTATTTATTTTTCTCTCCCCCTTGGCTGAACTCCAGCAAAGAATTCTAGCTGCATCTCCTGCCCTTCCCATGTGAGACCCTCCCTGACTATGCAGACTGCAGGGGTCTCCTCCTCTCCCTTAGTCTGGTGACCAGCCTGCAGTCATTATTTAACTCACCTAGCTCTCTAGCTCTGTTTATCTATCAATCTCTAATCTTCCCAACCAGATTGAAGGCAGAGGCTGTCTTGCAGGATTTTTGCGGCCTCCCAGCCACCAATCTCTACAGTCGCTTTTGGGAGAAATTTCTGTTCTACACTTTTCAGTACCTTGCCTTTATTCCCTTGGGCAGGAATTAGAGGCAGAGCAGGTAGCCATTGTGGGAGATGTGGTTCTGAGATTCCTCCCCTAGAAGAGTAACAGCCATTCAGATTAAAGCCCCAGAAGCTTGAGTTGAAGGATGGAGGATACTTCAAAGCATTATTGTCCATTAACACCTTGGTACCTTGGTAATTGTCACTGCTGAAGGAATGCCACCCAGGTCTGATAAGTTTGTGAAGTTGTGTGCTGGAGAGGAGATGCACCAGTTCTCAGGATGGGGCATAACACCTGGAGGAGAGCTTCTCAGGTGACCTTGGGAGCTGGGGGCTGTGGTCAGAGACACTGTGCCTCTTACGGGTGAGGGAAAGAGAACAGAACACACCAGAAGGATGGAGGAGCACCAGGCCAATTCAGCTCACCAAGCTGGGGGTCAGGCTATTTATTTTTATTTATTTATTTATTTATTTTTTGAGACAGAGTCTCGCTTTGTTGCCCAGGCTAGAGTGAGTGCCGTGGCATCAGCCTAGCTCACAGCAACCTCAAACTCCTGGGCTCAAGCAATCCTCCTGTCTCAGCCTCCCGAGTAGCTGGGACTACAGGCATGCGCCACCATGCCCGGCTAATTTTGTCTATATATATTAGTTGGCCAATTAATTTATTTCTATTTATAGTAGAGACGGGGTCTTGCTCTTGCTCAGGCTGGTTTCAAACTCCTGACCTGAGCAATCGCCCGCCTCGGCCTCCCAGAGTGCTAGGATTACAGGCGTGAGACACCGCGCCCGGCCGCGTCAGGCTATTTAAATCATCTTTAATAGCAAATGTTTAAAAAGAGATTTCTTTCATGGAGCTACAAAAAAAAAAAAAAGCTAATTCTCAATATTGAAAAATAATGAATGTTTTACATTTATCATTAACTTATGAATTAGAGATGTAAACACAGAATAGACTTTGAGCTGAAGAGAGCGCCTTAAAGACCTAATCTAACACTTCTAAAGACAAAGAAATTCAAAACTCCAAGATAAAGGGCCCTGCCAGTGTTATGAAATAGGTCAGGGACGCAGCCAAGAAGCCAGGTGTTCCGCCCCATCGTGTTCCGTGTTTGAAACATTTAATCAGAAAGTCAGAATTTAGACTAAAAGCAAAAAAGGTTAAATGAAAATTTTTGATACAAATTTAAAGTGAGTTAGAAGCAGCATTTGTTTGGAAAATATTACATTGTTCATTAATTAAAAAATAAAATAAAATAAACTTCAAGTACTAGTTAAACATTTACATCCTTATCTATTTAGATACTAAGAAGCTCAGTGTATTTTGCAATGATTTTTTTTTATTGATTCCACAAAGGTGAACTCCAATTGCCAAAGCTTTTTTTTTTTTTTTTTGAGACAAGGTCTCGCTCTGTCACCCAGGACTAGAGTGCAGTACTGTCATCATAGTTCACTGTAACCTCAAACTCCTGCTCAAGGCATCCTGCTGCCTCAGCTTCCTGGTAGCTGGGACTACAGGCACTCACCAACAGCTGGTGGGGGGGCTAGCTTTTGCTCAGGCTGGTCTCAAACTCCTGGCCTCAAGGGATCCTTCAGCCTCAGCCTCCCAAAGTGCTAGAATTATAGGCGTGAGTCACCTCACCTGCCTGATTACTTTTCCTTTAAAGATAGTAATTCTGACTCTT